TGTCTCAGTGGTTAAGAACACTGGCTGTTCTTCCAGAAGACCTGGGTTCGAATCCCAGCACCCATGTGCAGCTATCAACTGTCTATAACTCCAGTTCTAGGGGATCTGACAGCCGCTTCTGTCCTCTGTGAGCATTGCACGACACAGGTACACTTACCTACATGCAGGCAATACATGCATACACATAAAATAAAAATAATAAATAAAAATTTTAAAAAATAATAACTATAAAAGTTGGATTTATTGAATTAAATGAATATAAACTTTTTATGAGACTAAATTTAAATTTTTGAATTTAAGTTTCTAAACTGTTATGTATTTCTGGTACTTTAGAACTTCATGTGTGTGTCCTGAAATGGGTTTAGAGTATAGGCGACTGCTAGAAGCCAGAATCTGTATTGTGAAAGTCACTGGTTCTGCCTTAAGATTACTGGCAGTGGGACTGGAGAGATGGCTCAGCAGTTAAGAGCACTGGCTGCTCTTACAGAGGACCCAGGTTCAATTCCCATCACCCACATGATGGCTAACAACCATCTGGTACTCCATTTCCAGGAGCTCTGACACCCTTCTCTGACCTCCATGAACATTGTACAACACAGGTGCACCTACCTACATATAAGTAATACACTCATACATATAAAAAAATGAAAATAATAAATATTTTTTAAAAAAGATTACAGGACAAGTTTTATTTACAAACTCATTTACCATAAGCAGTTAATGAAACTAAAACTTATACATGAACCTCTTTCTATAAAACCAATTCCCTCTGAGCACAGACTAGGATATGCACTTAAATGGAGATCTTTTTTAAAGGTTAAAAGTCATTCAGTTTTATGTCTTACAGGGCTTATACTGAGTTCAATATTGTATAACTTTATTAACTCAACTGTGAACCTAGAAACTTACAGCCATCCATGAAAGAGATGGACTCTTGCTCTGGAGTGTGTTACTGAATATGTTAAAGCTGTAATGAAATGCGTCTAATCATGTAGTTATTAAACATTAAAAAAATTAAAAAATTTTAAAAAATAATCTCAAAAAAAAAGAAAGAAAGAAAATGTTCTGATTGAATTGTGGAATTGTGGTCATAGTCCCAACAAATGTGCGCGATATTAGTGAATTACACTCTTAGAATGGAGATCACAGTACGTAAACGATACCTCAGTTGGCCTGCGCTTTCACCTGTCCTTATTCCTGTCGTTTTACTGGGTTAGCCATTTTAATGCTAATATTTTTTTTTCAATTAAAACCTCATTCTGATGACTAAAAAAAAAGTGCTTCTACATGTTAAGCTACTTGTGAAATAAAATTTTATAAATGATGAAACTTTTTTCTCAAATATTAGGTTTATCTATGAGATTTGGCCTATATAATGCTTTGGCCATTAGGTTTTTTTCTTCACAAAACTAGCTTATGAAATAGAGCAGCTGTGTCTATCCGTCATCTCTAAGGACTGAACTTAAAAGCGGATACAGTGTTTTCTGCCTGTCACAGCTCCTTTCTCTCTCCACTGGCTCAGTAATTCTTTTCCTAAGTCATAGAAGCTTAACTGAACCAGGCCCAAGACACCTTTCAAAAGTTCGTTGCTTTCTCAACTTAGGACCACACAGGTGTACTACTACATTGTTGCCACAGACCCATTTGAGAGTCAGGGCTGCCATTTGCTGAGCTGACTGCTGTCACTCTCAGGCACTAAGGAGTGAAGTAGGCATTTCTGCATTCAGCTCTCCCTTTATCCACCGTGTGGAAGTTCACTTTCATCATCCTTACAGACGAAAAGTTTACAGAGGTCTGACACCTTGTCCGTGGGCAGAAGAGTGTTGGGAGGCTCTCAGAGGGCTTCTGTGGAATGAAGGGAAAGTCGGACCCTTTTCCTCAGCACCAGGGCTCCAGGATACTGCCTGGGTTGAAAGTAACATACCCATAGCAGCAGCAGTGAACAGATCCAAGACAGCCCTAGGGTCTGAGGGAACTTGTGGAGGGGCCCCTCTGCTCTGCCCACTGCCTCCAACCGTAGGGTTGGCCTGTATTCTCCATAGCTAAACTAGCAGGAGTGTTTAGCTGCGATCTATAGATTGCGATTACATGTAGCCCAGGTGACTATAAAGCTTGACGTTTGAGGAAAAGCTTGACTCAGGCTACAGTTCTCTCAGGTAGGAACTGAAAGCTGGCAGGTGGTATTGGATGCACAGATGCACACATTGTCTCCCTGGCAGTTTGTTCTGGATGCCCTAGCACAGCACTGCTTTGTGAAAGCCAAAGGCTAAGCAACTCCTTAGTGTTTCCCACTTAGAATTCTACTTCCGTCTTTGACATAAACTTCTATTTCCTTTCCATTTCAGTTTGTATTGAGTCACTTTCAGCAGCATTTTTATATCAAGATTGCATTTTATTAGAATATTTGAGGGTTTTCTCTGGGCCCAAGAGCTAAAATCTATGACATAATTTATTATTTATCTTTGTCTTTGTTTTATTTTATTTTTTGTTTGCTTTGTTTTTGTTTTTGCCTTCCAGAGCATGCCAAAGTAATCTTAGCTTTCTTTAACTATTGGATCACACATATCCTTCCTGAGAAAAACAGTGAGTAAAATCAGTGTCTCATGAAGAAGAGCTAATATGGAACAAGAAGACATAAGATACAGATGTGGCATAGCCTGAGAGTTCATACTCAAAGATTCACTTTCTTTGGGACTTTGAAGATATTTCTACCTTATTATTTATTCTTATGTTTATGTATCATCTGAGACTTTAAATGAGAAACTGAGATAAAATAGAAAACTTTCACTTCCTATAAACTACTATAAGCTAACTATTGTTACACCTGTCTTAAATTAATTACTACATAAAACTTGTTTTTCTGGTGCCTGTAACAATAAAAAATTGACATTAAGTAAACTGTATAGTTGAAATTATTATGTATTTTGATAAAAAAAATCACAAATCACCTTGCGTCTAAAGATCTTTAAGAATGCTTTATTGGTGCAGTAAGTACTAGTGCTTGCTAGTACCGACGACCAGAGTTTTAATCCTGGAACCCAAGTAAAAGCTGATGTCATAGTACATATCTAGCACTCCTATAGTAAGATGGGAGGCAGAGACAGGAGAATTGCCTAGATGGTCAGAGGCCAGCTTGTCTGAAGTTTCGTGCAGCACCAGAAACAAGAGAGACTGCATAACGGGGAAGGCAAGAACCAACTACTGAAAGTTGTTCTCTGACCACACGTACACTGACATGCATGTACCCACACTCATGTGCATACATACACACTCATGCATACACAAACACAGTAATTTTTTTAAATTCTCTATGGGTATCACAAAGTTCCAAAGGGGTATTTAAACCAAAATGTTTAAACAGTTCCATTATAGCCTAATTTATTCTTATTTTCCCTCTCTTACAGTCATTAGAGTTTCAAGAGCCTGTTATTTTTGTTGGGTTTTTTTGTTTGTTTTTTTGTCATAGGAGCAGTCACCAATTTTTAATATTGCTGAGTTTTAAAAATATCAGACACTTGATATAACATTTTAGTAAGCATTATCTCTATCTACAAAAATAATAGTTTTATTGTGATAAAATATGCATAACAAAATTCCTCGTCTTAGTCATTTTGGAGTGAGTGAGTCCTCACCAGGGTACAACTCTCACCATTCCTGGTTCTTCTGTGCTAAAGAGCACTGCATTGAGTGTGCATACATCACATTTTATATGTTCAGACACTTAAGTTTTCTCTACCTTCTGCCTGTTCTGAATAGTTCTGCCAAGAGCATGAATGGACAAGATTGTGTATGGACATTGCTCTTCATTCCTCTTGGTAAAAGAATTGCTGATTAGATGGTAACTGTGTTCATACTTTTGAGGAAATGTCAGACCATTTTCTACTGGAACAGCATCATTTTGTTTCATCAAACGTATACAAGGTGCCAATTTCTTCTCACCTCCCCAACACTTGTAATTTTCCATTTTCTTGATAATAGCTATCCTAGTGTGTGTGACGTGGTCTCATGGTGTTTCTTGTTTCTGTTTGCTTTCATTTCCTAGTGACTAATGATGTTGAGCATCATTGCACATGACAGTGGCTGTCTGTATCTCTTTGGAGAAGTGTCTCCTCCAGTTATTGCCCATTTTTGAATTGGGCTGTTTGGCTTTTAATGTCATATTACATGAGTTCTTTGTGTATTATGGATATTAATCCTTTATCACATATATCATTTGGGAATATTTTCTCCAATTTCCAAAGCTTTCCTCTTCACTCTCCTGGTAGTCTTCTTTGATCCATTAAAGTTTTCATTTCTAATGAAACCCAACTTGTCTAGTTTCCCCTTTATTCCCTGTACTTCTGCTGTCATATATGAGAACTCAGAGCCAATCCAATGTCATAAAAACGTTTATCTTGTATTTTCTTGTAAGAGTTTTAGATTTTAACTTACATGTTTAAATCTTTGATCCATCCTGAATTAATTTTTATATATGGTATTATGTAAGGCTCCATTTTATTCTTTTACATGTGAATGTCTACTTTTTAAATATTTTATTGTATTTTTTATTTTATGTGTATGAGCATATTGCCTGCGTGTGTGTAAGTGCACCTGTGTTATGTGATGCCATGGAGATCAATAGAGGGTATCAGATTACCTGGAACTGGAGTTAGGGACAGTTATTAGCTGTCATGTAGGTGCTGGGAACTGAACCCTGGTTCTTTGCAAGAGCAGCCAATGCACTTAACTGCTGAGCCATCTCTCCAGCCCCATGAATGTCTACTTTCCAAGGACTATGAAGAGACTGTCCCTTTCCCCAGAGAATGGTCTTGGCACTCTTGTCATAAACTTATATGTTAGGCTTACTCTGACTTTCTCCATTGCAGTGGTACAATATGTCTATCTTTATGCCAGTTTCACACTGTTTTGATGACTGTAGGTGTCTAGTAAGTTCTTAAGTCAGTAATGTAAACCCCCAATTTGTTCTTTTTTCAGATTTTTTTTTTTTTTTTTTTTTGCTGTTCAGCATACTGTGAAATTCCATGTGAATTTAGTCTAGGCTTTTTCTATTGATACAAAAGATACATTTTTGGTTTCTTGGTTTTGGATTTTGAGATATGGTGTCTTCTCAGGAGTGAATCTGGGTAAATCCTTTTAATCTTTTCAGACCATTGTCAGGATCTGCTCCATGCATACTTAAGAAGTGGCAGAACATTTGTGCTCTTCCACTGATGAGGATGGACACATCTTACAGAAATAGCCTGAGCACTGTGTGGCTTCACAGGAATGACTGCAGTGGCTTCAGCAGTCCACCCACCTAGCAGGTCAGTACACAGAGCCAGTTTGTAGGAGAGGAAAGGAAGGGAAGCCCACCTTTTATATCACCCCCAAATCCCCAGATACATCCCTTCACTTAAGGTTGAGTATCTCACTGATACTTATTCTCTGCATCTGACAAGTTCTGGGACTGTAATAGTCTCCATCTGTTGCAAAAAGAAGCTTCTTCGATGAAGGATGAAAGGTACACTTGTCTGTAAATATGAGGATGCATATTTAAAATAAAGTAAGAAATTACATTAGTCTAGGGATGTGGCAAAAGTAGGGTTTTTTTCTAGAATCTATGACCTCTGCAGCCACGTGTATTTGGCTATGTTTACAGTACTACACAGGAATTCCTTCCCATTGAATGGGTCTTAATTCTAACTAGGCATCTGTTGATTACACCCAAGATAAAAGTTCCACTGCTGCACCAATTGCAAGATGTTCCTGAACCAGTCATTGCTGTTTGTTACGCTTTACAGCTGGGTAGGACCATTGATTGTTTTTTTTTCCCCCTGGCAGCTTGTATAGTATGGTCTAAGACCATGAGAGCTAGCCTGAGGTGAGGTGGCATCCAGGTTAGTTGCAGTTGTTGCTCCAAGTCCTTTGTCCAAAATGTGGCCTGTTTTTCAGCAATAAGGTCTTACCTTCAAATTCTGGAAATCAGTGAAGGGCTGTGGCAATAGCCTGTGTCATTTTGGGAGCCTCTTGGGCTACCCTGACCAGCAACTTGAAGGGAGGTTTCTCTGCTGCCTAGTACTGTATTTTTGTTATATTGTCTTCAGCTGTACACATGCACTAATAATATTTATTGTATTCATATTTTTCAGTAGGACTTTGAACTGATGATACATTTCCCTCTGATTTTTCATACCAGCTAAGCTTTATTTATCTCTCCTCACTGTCTCCCTGTATAACCCTCCCTACTCCCTCCCCAGTTAAAGTACCCCCACTTTTCCCCATTTTCCCCTTAATAATATCTGTCTCCTACTCTCCCCCCTCTCAAACTTCTTCTTTACCCATGGTTCGTTTCCATTTTCCTAGCTTCTGTGGTTACATCAGGATATATACTCATACCTAGGGATTTGAGGCTAAGACCCACAAATGAGAGAACATATGTTGCTTTTCTGAGTCTGTTACTTCATTTAGTAATACAGTTCCTAGTAGTATCCATTTACCTGCAAATTTCATGATTCCATTTTTCTTTACTACCAAGTAGAACTCTACTGTATAAATGTACTACATTTTCATTATCTATTCATCAGTTCAGAAATATTTAGGTTGTTTCCATTTCTTAGCTATTGTGAAAAGAGCAGCAATAAACATGGCTGTGCAAGTATCTCTGCAGTAGGGTGAGTGTATTGGGTACATGCCAAGGAGTGGTATGACCAGATCATATAGTAGATTTATTTTTAGTTTTTTAAGAGTTTTCCATACTGATTTCCACAGTGATTGCACCAGTTTGTTGATTGTTGACCTTAATTTCTGAGCATCTGATGTCTGATTTAGAAAGTCCTTTTCTTCACCTATATCTTTTGTGTTCTGCCTATGTGTTCTTACAGTTTCAGCATTTCAGGTTTCACATTCAGGTCCGTGATTCATTTGGACTTGAGTTTTGTGCAAGGATGTAGGTGTGGATATAAGTGCATTCTTCTACACATGGAGATCCAATTTTGCCAGCACCATTTGTTGGCACCCCTGTCAACTATCAGGTGGCTGTAATTAGGTGCATTCATGTTTGGGTCTTCTGTTTTGTTCCATTGATCTCCAAGTCTATTTTTGTGCTAATGCCATGCTGTTGTTATGATTATGTCTGTGTAATATAGTTTGAGGTCTAGTACGGTAATCCTCCTGGCATTGTTCTTTGTGCTCAGGGTTGTTTTGGCTATCCAGGGTATTGTGGTATATTTGGGACTCTATTTTCAGTTGACGTAAATGTGTTACCTGCCAATTTTCAAACAGTATACGTAGAACTTCAGTCTGGCATTCAACTTAAAGGAGGAACAAAAAGTGTTTTGGGGTTTTTTTTTTTGTTTTTTTTGATACAGGGTCTCACTCTGCAGCCTTGGCTGACCTGGGACTCAGTATATAGAACAGATTAAACTCAAACTCACAGAAATCTGCCTGCCTCTGCCTCCCAAGTGCTGGGATTAAAGATGTGTGCCACCACACCTAACAAAGAAAATTTTTATCATGTCTTTTTATTAGCCTTTTGTAGGTCCTGTTTCACAGAGACAAATATCCCTCACTTCACAATCACACCTTATTTATGGTAGCACCTACATAAGTGAGCAAATATTTTCAAGAGTAGAGCACATTAAGAGCAAGATTAGAACCAAAATATCTGATTAGAAACTTAACAATTCGCTGAGAATTGCTACTATCAAACCAGATCCTGATGTATTAGGCTATCAATGCAAAGTCAGATAGCCTAGTAGTCTTGTGTTACCCTCTTTTACTTTTATAATAAGAAAATCAATGAGGTTTTATAATACTTAAGTTAAAACTTTGAACCTACTTGATGATTTTAAAAGACTTTCAGTATAGGGTGGTACACAATCAGGGTTATTATGTGAGGACATTTTTCTTATCTGT